TTATTTGAGACGACTTTGTGTTAATATAACTGAAAACTAATAGCAATATGAATGACCCGGATAATGACCCGGATAGGTCTATACGCGCCGTATTGGGACGCAAACGCGACGGGAACTATAATAGGGATCTCACAGTTCAGCCGAAAGTGTCACTTAGTTCGGGCCACTCTGGAAGGGGTGGCCTTTCAGACCAATGACATACTGGCGCTCATGCGTCAGGACAACAGCGGCATCAAAGTGGACGGAGGGATGAGTGCCAACAATCTCTTGTGTCAAATACTGTCGGATATCAGCGGCGCAGAGATTGTGAGGCCGAAGATGACGGAAGCGACGGCATTGGGCGCCGCTATGGTTGCGGGATATCATTTGGGGATCTGGAAGATATTCAAAGAACCGGAATCAGACGTCGGCTCTGAGTCCGAGACCGAAAAGCCTCATATAAACGGATATACTAACGGTTCGGTGCCTAAGAGTCATCGAAACGGTTTGATTCGAGCGATTAGTCGCCGATTATCTCAGTCTTCAATCACTCGCAAACTGGAGCGAAGTTTCTCTATTAGTCGTGAACCCAAACTCTATGACAAGAATTATGATGTCTTTCACCCAAACATGTCCGAGCAGTTACGACAGGACCGGATCAACACCTGGAAGGCTGCGGTGAGTCGAAGTCGCAAATGGATTCGTGTGGAGAAACAGGAACAGAAGAGAGTCGACTACAAGAGATTATCTTCAATACCATTCATGTTATACGTGTTGTTCTCATTTGGAACTCATATCTTAAGCGAAAGTATGTTAAAGAATAGCTCATGAGTTGTTAGATATCTATTGTCCGTTAAAACTAATCCATTATTTTGACATAATTTAGAAAATTTCATTTATTATATTGTATATAGAGTATATTAGTGTTAATCTACTGTAATAAATGAGTGCAAATATGAATATCCAGTATATTGTTAAATAACATAATAATATGTGTTAGTCATTAATGTTATGCTAATATAAAAACTAATGTTACGTTAACAATATATAATTTACAATAATTATTGAGAATTAAGATTGAGTGAACTCTCATTAGTTGTGAAATTATCAATTTTAAGATCTAATTTTAAACTCAAATTGAGTATCATTTTACTAAAATATGTATTTTATATTTTTATTTACATTTTTATATAGTGTTAGCATTTTTTGGTAACATTCTTTAAAGTTAATATTAATAATCTTAATAATTCTTAATTAGTTATATAATGTTTTTATAAGTATTCTATTAACTAATGAGAGAATATTCTTGTGATCAGAATTTAAGTCTCGGGTATTGTTAATACAAATGTATTTTTGAAATTATTTTATTAAATAGTTGTATTATTATAAGAGAGTATGTTTTAAAATATTAAAAACAGTTTTATTATTATTAAGAATTTTAATTACTGTATAAACTTAAAAAGAAAACATTATATTGATACTGATACTTTTAATTGCTGTCTGGAATTTTATTGATTACATTAATTACAGACTAATTATATTCTTAATTATGCAGATATGAAGACAATTGTATGATTATACTTAATTCATATATAGTTATTTATATTTTCATCAACGAATTACTCCATGTGTTTTGCAAATATTACTTTATAGTTTTAATTCATGTGATTATAAACTATTGCACCCAATGAACTGTTTGTTTATAGATATTGTTTTAAAAGTTTAGTAACATTACATTCTATGTAAGTTTTATTGTTTTGATTAACAAAATTTGCAATAAATCG